AAAAAAAGAAACCAAAAATAAGGATTGCCAATAAAAAGAATAACGGCACTTAATTTTTTGATACTGACTTCATCAGCTGGAATATCAGCTCACCCTAGCAGGCTCGCTTGAAATTCTTGGCGATAAAGTCAGTATCAAATCAACTGTTAACACAGAGATATGTCTCGCTTTTTTGTAATTTTGATAATGCAAATGTTGAAATTAAAATAACAATTCTTTAACATGTAAGTTATGCAAATATTCAAAGTCAATGAACCATGACTGAAGGAACATGGCTAAACAATCTCCATGGAAATGAGATGTGCCAATGCTAGTACAACTGCATACCAAATACCATTGACTTATCATAAGTCGTTCCCTTTAAAAAAAAACCTAAACACGAACATTAACTTGTAAACTTTGTAAAAAATTCAAGATAAGGGGGTGGGGCTATATAATCTCAATGGAAACGAGACTTGCAAATGTCAATAAATTTGCATACCAAATATCACTGAACTGACTTAACATTAGCGGTTCATCTTAAACTGATCTAATCACAAACTAATAAATGTAAACTAAGCAAAAGTTTCAAAGTCAATAGACCATGACTGAGGGGGCAGGGCCAAATAATCTCCATGGAAATGAGATGTGGTGCTAATGCTTATACAACTGCAAACCAATTATCATTGGCCTACAACTAATGGTTCCCCTTGAAATGACCTAATCACAAACTACTACATGTAAACTAAGCAAAAGTTTCAAAGTCAATAGACCATGACTGAGGGGGCGGGGCCAAAAAATCGCCATGGAAATGAGATATGCCAATGCTTATACAACTGCATACCAAATATCATTGACTTACCACTAGTGGTTCCCCATAAATTGACCTAATCACAAACTAATACATGTTAACTAAGCAAAAGTTTCAAAGTCAATAGACCATGGCTGAGGGGGCGGGGCCAAATAATCTCCATGGAAATGATATATGCCAATGCTTATGCAACTTCATACCAAATATCATTGACCTACCAGTAGCAGTTCCCCATAAACTGACCTAATCACAAACTAATACATGTAAACTAACGAAAGTTTCAAAGTCAATAGACCATGACTGAGGGGGCAGGGCCAAATAATCTCCATGGTAATGAGATGTGCCAATGCTAACACAACTTCATACAAATATCATTGACCTACCACTAGTGGTTCACCATAAACTAGACCTAATCACAAACTAATACATTGTTGACGCCACCTCTGCCAATGCTGAAAACAGCATACCTATGTCTCGCTTTTTGACTCTGTTAAGGCAAGACAAAAACAAAATGCCATTATTCTACATTCTCCAGTAATTTAACCTGTCGTGCTATTTCCAGAAACATCCATGTTTAGCCTCATAATTAAGCAGCATAAAGTCTGTTCATTAGAAAAAATATAAATTTCTTAACACTTCTTCTTCCAAAAATCATTAAAACTTCAATTAAGTCAAATGTTAACATTTAACAACTTTACCTACACAGAGAATTATGTAATTGTAAATAAATATTCTCAACATCTGAAATATGTTATTAAAATTCTATATGTAAATAATTATTTCACCAAAGCGATTGATATTTTTTATTTTAAAAATCTTGTTCAAATAACAACTCCTCCCTCCATCCCACCCTCTATTTGAACAACTCTTAAAAATCAATTCAACACTGTCACTTTCGTTTTAGGCTTCAAAGTAAAATGGATAAGAAATTGACAACCCCATTATGATGATGGACAGGTATTAACCCTAACTGACCTTCAATGTTACCTTAAACAAACACAGGTAAAATACCAGCAATTAAATAAAGTGCAACACTACCCTACTACAATAACAGGTCTACAGTATAGTCTGACAGTTTAAAAAGATTGCACTTTCTCACCCTGTTAAAAGAACTATATCTTTATGAAAGATGAATATACTAAAATTTCAGTAACAGAATTAAATACAAAACTGACATTTTCCAGAAAGGAAAAATGTGTTTATTTATTCAATAATTGGTAAAAGAAAAAAAATATTTTTAAAATTTTACTCTCTTAATCATGAAAAACATTCTGTCCAAGTTTAATAACATTCAAAGATGGTTTGACAAAGTTATTTAAAAACTTAAACCACAAACTGCATCAAAATGTTAACATAAAAAAACTCAAATTGTCAGTAAAATACTTAAATATTGAATACCAATGATGAAACAATAGGACCTTAAATATTTTTGTTGCATGCAAGACAAAAAAATCAGAGCATGTAAAAAAAAGGTGCTGTCAAAAGGCTCATTATGGAGAAAAGAAGTTGGCATCAAAAGATGTCATAATTGAGTTAAGGGTAAAGTCTATCTATAAATTTCAATAGATTATGTCGCAAAATTTTCAAATAAATTCACAAATAATATTACAATGACAAAACTCTAGCTTTTGTTCAGATACCTTAATCCAATGAATATCCTGAACAACTAATGCAAACTTTTAGTATATCAAACTTACTTTCATGAAAGTAGAAAAATGGAGATCAAGAAACTAAATTATTGAACACAAGAATGAACTAGAGGCTCTAAAGAGCCTGTGTCGCTCATCTTTGTCTATGTGCATATTCAACAAAGGACACTCTCCAACATTGTAAACAAAATAGAATTCATGACAAAAATCTCTTTTTTGTTGATCTTGTATTGCTGATCATTTAGTCTGTTTAGTTTCTCTCTATCTTCTTTTTTTTTTGTGCACAAAACACAAAAGAGGGTAAAAAATCCTCATTTAAGGTCAATCCCTCTTATACTATAAAGAGTGACAGTCTACTTACTATATCGGCAAAATTTGACGTGTTAGTATATCTTGCCTTGCTGATCATTTTTGTGATTTAAAGTGTCAATTTATCTATTATAATTTTTATCATATAAGACAAAATGCCAAAAAAAATGGTAAAAATTGTCATTAAAGGGCAATAACTCCAATAAGGAGTCGCCGTACAATTTCCTTCGTATTGTCTAAATTGTAGATCTTGTCTTGCTGATCATTTTTGCTTGTTTAAGTTTCTCTCTATCTATTATAATTTTTAAGATATGAGGCAAAAATGCAAAAAAAATGGTAAAAATCATCATCAAAGTGCAATAACTCTAATAAGGAGTAGACTGGCGATCTTGACCATTAGACTTATTTTTAGAACTTGTTTTGCTGATCATGTTTGCATTTTAAATTTTCTCCCTATCTATTATAGTTTTCAAGATAATAGTCAAAAATGTAAAAAAAATGGTTAAATTTGTCATTTAAGGGTAGAACTATGAGAAGTCGTCTGGCAGTTTTGACATATGTGAACAATTGGTAGAGCTCAACATTCTGCACATTTTTTCCCTGTCAGATTTTCTCTATTTATAACGGTTTTCATAATAATAGACAAAACTTGCATTTTACCCCTATGTTCTATTTTTAGCCAGGTCGGCCATCTTGTTTGGGCGGCGGGGTCATCGGACACATTTTTAAAATTAAATACCCCAATGATGACTGTGGCCAAGTTTGAATAAATTTGGCCCTGTAGTTTCAGGAGAAGATTGTTGTGAGCTAAAAAGAGATATGTGACAGACGAAGGGATAAATGAAGACATACTAATTGATGGACAGACACTCATACTGGAAAACAATATGGCCCCTGGGGTACTTAATTTCTAGAATCACCAGAGGTTTATATCAGAAACATTGTGAAAACAGATATATATAAAGAAAACAGACATCCAATGTATTATTTGCAACGAATTTTTTAGGAAAGGACTTTTTGAAACTCCATCCAACTATAAGATAAGACATCGTTCCAACCTTTCAAGCCTTACCATGGTCAAGGAAATTAACAGAAAATATAGCTTAAAATAATATAATGTTATGATTTATTTGATATGAACAAAGAATGAAATCAAAAATACAATATCCACAATATATGGTATTAACTTTCAAAAGTACTCTAAAAATATACCCCACATCTCCTAATATTATAATAGTTTCAAGGTGTACATATCCATCTCAGAAAGTTCATCTGATCTTCATGGTTAATTGATCAACTTGTAGTTTTCTATAAGGTTATGGTTATGCAGATTAAATCTGCCAGACAAAATTGTCCACCTTGAAAAAATACATACACTGATTCTAGTTGATCTATTGCTCATAGATTCTGAGAAACTGAACAAACCATGAAAACGTAACATTAACCAATGAACCATGAAGTCAAAGTAGGATGGAACCTACCAGACAGACATGTACACTATACAATCTTTGTATACACCAAATATGGTTCACCTTTTACTTATAGTATTTGAGATACAGACATATCTACGAAACTTTACAAGATCACTTATCCCTGAAATGAGGTCAATGTCAGGTGAACCATGTCTGACAGACACGTACAACTCGCAAGGATCCAATATACCAAATATAGTTATCCTATAACTCATAATAAGTGGCAAATTCATGTGACAAAATTATTATACATATTTCAATCAGTCCCTGAAATGAGGTCAAGGACACTGGATGTATGAGTTGGAAATTTAAAAACATACCGCATTTGTTTACAAGACATTTAGTATCCAGCTCTTCAACCTTCTGAAATAAATGGCTCACATTCCTGTCTTTCATTCTGTGACTTTTTCCCAGGCGAGACAATAAAAAATTAAAGAATTTTACATACCCCTGTTGATGGTGATAATCTATGGTGATGTCCAAATATAAATGTCTATACATACCCCTGTTGATGGTGATAATCTATGGTGATGTCCAAATATAAATGTCTATACATACCCCTGTTGATGGTGATAATCTATGGTGATGTCCAAATATAAATGTCTATATATATACCCCTGTTGATGGTGATAATCTATGGTGATGTCCAAATATAAATGTCTATACATACCCCTGTTGATGGTGATAATCTATGGTGATGTCCAAATATAAATTTCTATACATACCCTTTTTGATGGTGATAATCTACGGTGATGTCCAAATATAAATGTCTATACATACCCCTGTTGATGGTGATAATCTATGGTGATGTCCAAATATAAATGTCAAGGTCACTTTCTTGTATAAGGATGAGGTATCTTTTGTATTTGGAGAGGCATCCTAAAATGATATATCAAAATATATGCCATTTCATTTCTGTTTTTCTCATATGCTGAGAATGGCAGTTCTTATAGTATTGTTTATTGCATTCTTATATATATTAATCAAAGTTCTTCAAATAATTTGATTTTCTTTATAAATATTTCATTAATTAACATTGCTGTATCAGCTTTTTATATGAATCCATAATGACATTAAACAACCAATCATTTATAGATGCCAAATTTGTACTCTTGCTTCTGACAGTTTGAAATATACATAATATTTAATAAATTTATATTCTGAGCACAATTTTTACAAGCATGAATATATATAAACTAGAGGCTCTTTGTGTCGCTCACCCACATCTTCAACAATGGCCACTTTTGAGTAAAAATCATTATGAAAAGGTGGATAACTCTATCTAGAGTTAAATGATAATTTAAGTCATGTTGACATATTTACAGGTCTTATCCTGTTGATCTTATTTTCTTTTTTAAAGTTTCTATTTATCTTGTATCTATTATAGTTTTCAAGAAAATAGACAAAAAATGCAAAAAAAATATAAAAAATTATCATTAACATGATTAAAGGGCAATAATGAGTCAACTGAAGATATCGACCATGATGGCTTATTTGTAGATCTTGTCTTGCTGATCATTTTTGCTGTTTATAGTTTCTATCTATCTATTATAGATTTAAAAATAAATGGCAAAAATGAAAAAAATTCAGTTTCAGTCATGTTCACTTATTTGTAGATCTTGTCTTGCTTATCATTTTTGCTAATTAAAGATTCTGTCTATATAGGCAAAAATGCAAAACATTGGGAAATAAATGGGGAATGTGTCCATGGGACACAGATGATGCCCCCACTTGCATATAACATTGTAAAGGGACATAACTCAAGAACGGTAAAAGACACGCTACCCAAATTCAAACTTGATCTGTGTTTTGTGGTAATAAGCATTGTGTAGAAGTTTAATAACATTTGTTTGAAGCAAACTAAAGTTAGAGAACGGAAATGAAAAATTTAGCAATTTTTACATTTGTAAAGGGGCATAACTCTAGAACAGTAAAAGTGACGCCACCAAAATATTGTTTTGTGGTAATAAACATTGTATGTAAGTTTCATAACATTTGGTTGAGGCAAACTAAAGTTAGAGAACGGAAACCAATTTTGGGATGTACGGACGGACGGATGTACAGACAGACAAGGGTGAAACTTAATGCCCCCTCCGCTACGGCGGGGGCATAAAAATTGTCATTTAAAGGCAGTAACTCCTGTAAGAAGACATCTGACTGTATCCATTGATCAAAGGTAGATTTCATCATTGTGAACATTTTTGACCTTGTCAGATTTTCTCTATCTATAACAGTTTTCAAGATAATAAACAAAAATTGCATTTTCCTTTTATGTTCTAATTTTAGCTGTGTTGGCCATATTTGTCTGCAGGTGGGGTCATCAGACAAATTTTTAAAACTAGATATTGATGATTGTGGCCAAATTTGGTTAGATTTGGCCAAGTAGTTTCAGAGGAGATGTCCTTTGAAAAAGTTAACAGATAAGGGATGACAGTGATGGACGCCAAGTGATGGCAAAAGCTTACACTGGTGAGCTAATGATATAGCCAAATATTTCACCATATCAAAAAGTATCATGAATAACAAATTTTTACACAAAGAAAAAGTAACATTTTCCACTTTTGTATTCAACATATTTAGTAATAACTTTTTAAATAAATGTGGAATGCGTCCATGGGACACAGATGATGCCCCCGCTTGCATATAACGTTATAAAGGCACATAATTCAAAAACTGTAAAAGTGACGCTTCCCAAATTTGTACTTGATCTAAGTTTTGTGGTAATAAGCATTGTGTTAATGTATCATAACATTAAGTTGAGGCAAACTTAAGTTAGAGAATGGAAACAAAAAATTCAGCAATTTTTCCATTTGTAAAGGGGCATAACTCTAGAACTGTAAAAGTGACGCCAACAAAATTCAAACTTGATCTGTGTTTTGTGGTAATAAGCATTGTGTATAAGTTTCATAACATTTGGTTGAGGCAAACTAAAGGTAAAGAACGGTAACCAATTTTAGGACGTACGAATGGACGTACAAAAAAATATAATTTTTCATAATCTCAATTAATTATTGTAGATATTTTTGTGTTCTCTGTAAGACTGTCCCATTAAAAATATATGTGGGACAGGGAAGGCACTTCATATCAACTATGGGTGGGTGTCATTTTTTATTTAGGGTGGGGGGTTAGGAAAATGTGAGAGAGATTAAGAAAATGTCCTATTAGGTGGTTATCCCATTTTCATAATGCTCTTTCAAAAATGTTTTTTTGTCAGGACAGTGATCATATTTGAATCTACTTGAGAAATTGGTGTAAAGTAATAGCTCGTGAAAATAACCTGGTTTACAGTTCCTTACCTTTGCTAATGGAGGGAAATTGAGCAGTCTGTGATTATGAGCTTTCAATAACCCTATCTCTGTCTGAAAGGAAATAAGATTAAATTGTAAGCGCAGATATGGCAAAAGGGGAGATAACTCTAACTCATTTCAGTCATTTTGTACACTGAATTTGATTCTCTGAAAAAAGTTTTTAAGTATATCAAATTTGAAATACCACTTCATTTGGCTGTTTATAGCAATTTAAATATTTTCTACTGATAATATTATTCATCATTGAAATCATTTTGTTTTAACTATTGTTTTTGTTTTTGTTTTTGTGTTGTATTTTGTTTTTTTGTGTGGTTTTTAAAAAAAAAAGTCATTTGTGTCCGTATGTCATTTGTGTCCGTATGCATGCAAAATGTCTTTGACTCTTAGTTGGAGATATAATGTATATTCAGCATGTTCAGTTATTAAAAAGAATAGAATGTCAAAATTGAAATGTCCATAGGATGATCTTCCTAACTTACAGATAAATCTAAGATATGTCCATAGGGTGATATTCCTAACTTACAGATAAATCTAAGATATGTCCATAGGATGATCTTCCTAACTTACAGATAAATCTAAGATATGTCCATAGGGTGATATTCCTAACTTACAGATAAATCTAAGATATGTCCATAGGGTGATATTCCTAACTTACAGATAAATCTAAGATATGCCCATAGGATGATCTTCCTAACTTACAGATAAATCTAAGATATGCCCATAGGATGATCTTCCTAACTTACAGATAAATCTAAGATATGCCCATAGGATGATCTTCCTAACTTACAGATAAATCTAAGATATGCCCATAGGATGATCTTCCTAACTTACAGATAAATCTAAGATATGCCCATAGGATGATCTTCCTAACTTACAGATAAATCTAAGATATGTCCATAGGGTGATATTTCTTACTTACAGATAAATCTAAGATATGCCCATTCAATGATATTCCTAACTTAAATATAAATCTAATATATGTCCATAGGGTGATATTCCTAACTTACAGATAAATCCAAGATATGTCTATAGGGTGATATTACTAACTTACAGACAAATCTAAGATATGCCCATTCAATGATATTCCTAACTTAAATATAAATCTAATATATGTCCATAGGGTGATATTCCTGACTTACAGATAAATCTAAGATATGTCCATAGGGCGATATTCCTAACTTACAGATAAATCTAAGATATGTCCATAGGGTGATATTTCTTACTTACAGATAAATCTAAGATATGCCCATTCAATGATATTCCTAACTTAAATATAAATCTAATATATGTCCATAGGGTGATATTCCTAACTTACAGATAAATCCAAGATATGTCTATAGGGTGATATTACTAACTTACAGACAAATCTAAGATATGCCCATTCAATGATATTCCTAACTTAAATATAAATCTAATATATGTCCATAGGGTGATATTCCTGACTTACAGATAAATCTAAGATATGTCCATAGGGCGATATTCCTAACTTACAGATAAATCTAAGATATGTCCATAGGGGGATATTCCTTACTTACAGACAAATCTAAGATATGCCCATTCAATGATATTCCTATCTTAAATATAAATCTAAGATATGTCTATAGGGTGATATTCCTAACTTACAGATAAATCTAAGATATGTCCTAACTTACAGATAAATCTAAGATATGTCCATAGGGTGATATTCCTAACTTACAGACAAATCTAAGATATGCCCATTCAATGATATTCCTAACTTAAATGTAAATCTAAGATATGTTCATAGGGTGATATTCCTAACTTACAGATAAATCTAAGATATGTCCATAGGGTGATATTTCTAACTTACAGATAAATCTAAGATAGGTCCATAGGGTGATATTCCTAACTTACAGACAAATCTAAGATACGCCCATTCAATGATATTCCTAACTTAAATCTAAATCTAAGATATGTCTATAGGGTGATATTCCTAACTTACAGATAAATCTAAGATATGCCCATAGGGTGATATTCCAAACTTACAGACAAATCTAAGATATGTCCATTCACTGATATTCCTAACTTAAATATAAATCTAAGATATGTCTATAGAGTGATATTCCTAACTTACAGATAAATCTAAGATATGTCCTAACTTACAGATAAATCTAAGATATGTCCATAGGGTGATATTCCTAACTTACAGACAAATCTATATGCCCATTCAATGATATTCCTAACTTAAATATAAATCTAAGATATGTCTATAGGATGATCTTCCTAACTTACAGATAAATCTAAGATATGTCCATAGGGTGATATTCCTAACTTTCAGATAAATCTAAGATATGTCCATAGGGTGATATTCCTAACTTACAGACAAATCTAAGATATGCCCATTCAATGATATTCCTAACTTAAATATAAATCTTTTAAGATATGTCTATAGGGTGATATTCCTAACTTACAGATAAATCTAAGATATGTCCATAGGGTGATATTCCTAACTTACAGATAAATCTAAGATATGTCCATAGGGTGATATTCCTAACTTACAGATAAATCCAAGATATGCCCATAGGATGAAATTCCTAACTTTTCTATATCAGCATGAGTCATTCTCAACAGCCTCTTCCCTGTTATATTGTGCTGTAAAAATAAGTCTGCATACTGTTCTAGGTCATCTGAGTAATCTGAAATTGCAATGAATATAAATATATTACATTTATGTTTTACGATAGTACAAGACAAATTCATTTGACATAAGGCGCCAATGGGTGTGGTATGTTGTAAGTTGTACAATACAAGTTCATTTGACACACATTATTAATATGGCAGTTGTAATTTGTAAGTTGTACAATACAAGTTTATTTGACACATGGTGCTTACAAGAGTGGTATGTTGTACGTTGGACAATACAAGTTTATTTGACACAGGGAGTTGTAATTTGTAAGCTGTACTATACAAGTTCATTTGACACACATCACTTATACGGGAGTTGTAATTTGTAAGCTGTACTATACAAGTTCTTTGGACACACATCACTAATACGGGAGTTGTAATTTGTAAGTTGTACAATACAAGTTTATTTGACACACGGTGCTAATGGGAGTTGTAAGTTTTATGTTGAACAACTCAAGTTTATTTGACACACAGGGCTAACTTGAGTTGTAAGTTGTATGTTGGACAATACAAGTTTATTTGACACAGGGAGTTGTAATTTGTAAGCTGTACTATACAAGTTCATTTGACACACATCACTTATACGGGAGTTGTAATTTGTAAGCTGTACTATACAAGTTCTTTGGACACACATCACTAATACGGGAGTTGTAATTTGTAAGTTGTACAATACAAGTTTATTTGACACACGGTGCTAATGGGAGTTGTAAGTTTTATGTTGAACAACTCAAGTTTATTTGACACACAGGGCTAACTTGAATTGTAAGTTGTATGTTGTACAATACAAGTTAATGATAACAGGGAATCAACTGTTTAAAAACAATGCAACAAAATAAAGTGATGAGTTATTTACTGATGTTTACATCATCATAACCACATGTGGAAAGAAGTCACAGAGAAATTAATATGTGATTTGTTGCCTAGGATACTATTATGTGTATTATAGTCATCTGTGATTTTCCTGTACTGATTTGTATTGTATCTTTTTTTTTAATCCTACTGACTGATACCGTTAATTCAGAAATTATTGTGTGCATTTATAATTGGGATTTTTGAAGAATTAACAAAAATGTGAGTTTAATTATTGCAAATTTAGGATAAGCTACATACAGATATATGTATTTGATATCAGAATGCGAATTCTTATTATCACGATACTCAAGTAGTCGCATTATTCGCATTAATACAAACCTTGCAATAATTTTTGAATTTACAGTATTCAGTAGGAGAGGTTTGAGATGTCAAAAAACTTACTGTAAATTCAGAAACTATTGTAAAAAATGCGACATGGTTATAATCGCAATAATTTATACTCGCATTTTGAAATTTTTTATATGAATTAAACAGGATTTTTCTCAATATTGCAAAAATTAAAATCTCATTTTAGTCTAAAATGACAAAATTGCAATAATAAATGCACGCAATAATTACTGAATTTACAGTAGTTTAATCCTGCTCAATATGCATCCAAGTCAGGAACCTAGAAATAATGTAAAGACATTTGTATATTGTTGATTGACTGGTCACTGTTTGTTAAAAGTCCACTTTTAGAAGATAAAGTATATATTTTTGAAGATAAAAGTATATATTTTTGAAGATAAAGTATATATTTTTGAGGACTGCATGTTGACCTCTAGATTTGTTTGTGTTGTTGAGTTGATGAATCATTGACACCTTTTCTCAACATATTTTTGTTATGTGCAAAAGTCACTTAAAATGCTTTATTTCTAACTTTTGAATCACCAAGAAATTTCAATTTATATATCCTATTGAAATTATCTTAAATCATACACTTATCAATGCATGTGATATAGGTCTGGTTACATAAAATCTATACTTCCAAGTAATATACTCACTGTTACTAATCTGTAGTATCCACTGGAACTGAAAATATATAGACAGAATTAGATATAGACTGATACTGATGCTGTAGAACACCACAATCTAATAAAGAGCTGTGCCATGAGTGCATGATACGCCGTCATTTTTTCAACAAACAAAGTTCTATAACTTCTCAATGTCATATTAGCAGAAATTTATAAAAAAAAATTAAAGGGAGCTTATCGTAATAGATATAAACCAGTCATCAAAGTTTCATGAAAACTGCTCAAAGCATTTTTGAGTTATTGTCAGAAAACTGGAAAATCCCCTCTTTTTTATGAATAAAATCCCATAACTTGGAAACGTAAAAATCTAAAATTCATAAAAACCAAAAGGGAGTTTACGTCAATAGATATAAACAATTCACCAAAGTTTCATGAAAATTTCTTAAAGCCTTTTTAAGTGATTGTCCGACATGCTCATGACGGACAGACAGACGGATGGACAGACAACGGTATACCATAATATGTCCTGTAAACGGGCATATAAAAATTACTATCAAGAACCAGTGGAAAATTAATTCTCAGCTAGCAACAGAATTGTCCTAGACATTCTTACAAATACTTAAAAGATGCCAACTAGGTACAGACACTCGGGCATCATTGAAAATCTAAATGTCTACTGTTGATGAAATTGTGTTGTTTGTTTTATTTATCTTTTTTATTCCATCTAACTCAATCTGCTTTCACATGTATCATAGCCTGACTGAGACATGCATCTTGAAATTAATTCAATATTGTTTAGGTTTTTGAATCAAAATCATTATTCAAAGGAACATTAATAACTAGAGGCTCTCAAGAGCCTGTGTCGCTCACCTGTATTTACTGATGCTTTGGAAATCATGTAAAATAAGGTTAAAATCATAATTAATAGTATTAGATATTAGATATTATAATGATATCTAAGATAATAACAAATAAAATGCTCTGCAGGGCGCAGCTTGATACGACCGCAGAGGTCGAACCCTGAACAGTTGGGGCAAGAATGGACACAACATTCAAGCTTGATACAGCTCTGAATTTGGATTGAAATTAAATATTTGACACAGCATAGGTTTCTGACACAGAATGAATGTGGTCTAAGAACTTAAAAATTTTAAATTGGACATTCACCTATTATGGTCCAATATCCAAAATCTAAATACATGGTTAGATTCAGCATATCAAAGAACCCCAATAATTCAAATTTTGATGAAATCAAACAAAGTTTAATTTTGGACCCTTTTGACCTCAATGTGGACAAAGTTGATAACGGGGCCCAAAAATCAAAAATCTAAATACATGGTTAGATTCAGCATATCAAAGAACCCAATATATTCAATTTTTGTTGAAATCAAACAAAGTTTAATTTTGGACCCCGATTTGGACCAACTTGAAAACTGGGCCCATAATCAAAAATCTAAATACATGTTTAGATTCAGCATATCAAAGAACCCTAAAAATTCAATTTTTGTTAAAATCAAACTAAGTTTAATTTTGGACCCTTTGGACCTTAATGTAGACCAATTTGAAAACGGAACCAAAAATTAAGAATCTAAATACACGGTTAGATTCGGCATATCAAAGAACCCCAATTATTCAATTTTTGATGAAATCAAACAAAGTTAAATTTTGGACCCTTTGGACCTCAATGTGGACCAATTTAAAAACGGGGCCCAAAATCCAAAAACTTAATACACGGTAAGATTCAGCATATTAAAGAACCCCAAGAATTCAAGAATAAAACCCCATTGAAATTGATCAAGAAATAAGCAATTTATACGAAGTATCTTCTTTTGCACAATACTGTGCAATTGAATATTTCTTGCTATTGCGCAATACTGTACAATTGACAATTTCTTGCTATTGCGCAATATTGTGCCAATGGATATTTCTTGCTATTGCGCAATACTGTGCAATTGAAGATTTCTTGCTATTGCGCAATACTGTGCAATTGAAGATTTCTTGCTATTGTGCAATACTGTGCAATTGAAAATTTCTTGCTATTGCACAATACTTATTATATAATAATTTACACATCCTGTTTGGTGTGTATCTCCTACCATATCATTATTTGCTTTTAAATATAAATCAGAAATAACCAACCTAAAATGGAAAATTTTAAAAGAAAAAAAAAGGTAAAAAGGAAAAAAAAAAAAAAAAAAAATCCCCCCCCCCCAAATTTTTTGAACCCCCTTATGATTCATCACCCCCAAACTCAATCCCAGCCTTCCCTTTGTGGAATGGTACCTTGCAGTACAATTTCAGAGAGATCCATACACTTGAACACAAGTTATTGTCTGGAAACTAGAAAAATGCTTATTTTTGGCCCCTTTTTGGCCCCCAATTCCTAAACGTTTCGGGCAATTACCCCCAAACTCAATTCCAGCTTTCCCTTTGTGATATGGAACCTTGTAGTACAATTTCAGAAATATCCAAACACTTACACACAGGTTATTGTCATGAAACTAGAAAAATGCTTGTTTTTTTGCCCCTTTTTTGGCCCCTAATTCCTAAAATTTTGAGTTAATTACCCCCAAAATCAATTACAGCCTTCCCTTTGTGATATGGAACCTTGTGGTACAATGTCAGAGAGATCCATACACTAACACACAAGTTATTGTCTGGAAGTTACAAAAATGCTTATTTTGGCCCCTTTTTGGCCCCTAATTCCTTAACTGTTGGTACCATAACCCCCAAAATCAATCCCAACCTTCCTTTCGTGGTATTGAACCTTATGGTAAAATTTCATGGAGATCCATTCACTTAAACTAAAGTTAGAGTGCGAAAACCAATGTGTCTTCGGACGACGCCAGACGACGACGACGACGACGACGACGCCAACGTCATACCAATATACGACCAAAAAATTTTTAATTTTTGCAGTCGTATAAAAACTGCAAAATTTTTGTAAAATTACTAACTCAGGGGCAGCAACCCAACAACGGGTTGTCGGATTTGTCTGAAAATTTCAGGGCAGATAAATCTAAATCTGATGAACATTTTTGCCACCTGTCAGATTTGCTCTAAATGCTTTAGTTTCAGAGATATAAACCAAAAACTGCATTTTACCCCTATGTTCTATTTTTAGCCATGGCGGCCATCTTGGTTGGTTGGCGGGGTCATCGGACAATTTTTTTAAACTACATACCCTAATAATGATTATGGCCAAGTATGGTTAAATTTGTATCAGTAGTTTCAGAGAAGAAGATTTTTGTAAAAGATTACAAAAATTTACGAAAAATTGTTAAAAATTGATTATTAAGGGCAATAACTCCTAAAGGGGTCGACTGACAATTTTGGTCATGCAACTTATTTGTAGATCTTACTTTGCTGAACATTATTGCTGTTTACAGTTTATCTCTATCTATAATAATATTCAAGATAATAACCAAAAACTGCAAAATTTCCTTAAAATTACCAATTCAGGGGCAGCAACCCAACAACAGGTTGTCAGATTTGTCTGAAAATTTCAGGGCAGATAGATCTTGACCTGATAATCAGTTTTCCCCTTTGTCAAATTTCCTCTAAATGCTTTGGTTTCAGAGATATAAGCCAAAATCTACATTTTACCCCTATGTTCTATTTTTAGCCATGGCGGCCATCTTGGTTGGTTGGCGGGGTCATCGGACACATTTTTTAAACTAGATACCCTAATGATGATTGTGGCCAAGTTTGGTTAAATTTGGCCCAGTGGTTTCAGAGGAGAAGATTTTTGTAAAAAGCTAACGACGACGGACGACGACGACGACGGACGACGGACGACGCCAAGTGATGAGAAAAGCTCATTTGACCCTTCGGGTCAGGTGAGCTAAAAATGTTCAATTTCAGCTAGTAATGAAGTTGTCTTTTTGTCACCACTAGGAATGAAGCATAGCTTTTAATAAAAACAAATATGAGCACCATACCCCTTATCATGGATTTGCATGAATGTTACAAACAAGAGAGCCAATGTATTGCTTATGAGAAAGTCCATAAATCAATTGGATCATAAACTCAAACAGCAGGATCATAATGCCATTAGGTACTGAAAATTCTCAGAAAAATACACAGAAATCCAATTCAGTGCTGGTGTTAGGAGGAGTTACATATATAAAATGCTTACCCCTTTTGTAAATATGGTTAGATCGATCTGTTCATTATTGGAAACCCTGACATCATTTAGATAAAACTCAAATAAGAGGTACAAAATGCCATTAGATAATAAAAGCATCTCTTAATATTTTAATGAAAAAATCCTAAAACCTGACCGAATCTAACCTATGAAAAACTTACCACATCAACTTCTCTCCATGTGTTGACATCAAATGATTCCAAATGCTGGAAAAAAGAAGCAAGAAATATTAATGTCCTTTTGACATCACAAAACAATTTTTTCCCCACAGTGTTGTAAATAAAATAATAATTTTCTAGTTATTCCATAAACATATACCCTTGTTAAATTACTAAATGTTCCCTGTCATTTTTTTAACAAGTTCAAAATGTGCAGTCTAGCCCAAAACTAATTCAATTCAAAATAAAGGTAAGGAGATGTGGTATGATTGCCAATGAGACAACTATCCACCAAAGTTCAAATGAAGTGGATGTTAGCAATTATAGGCAAAGTTTGTTTAGGGTTGTTCCTTAAAGGCATGTCCTTATTTTTTTTGGGGAAAGATAATCTGTACATCATCTACATTAAATCATTCCTCTAATGACCTGTATGTGTTTTTTCATAAAATAAAAGTATCTGAGACATTTAATTTTAGAGAAAATTTATGTTCATTTTGTTTTACCTGAATTTTCAATTATCTTGACTGTTCCATTATATCATATATGGTACCCAGGTAAAGCACTTAGAATTTCTCTTATACTTTCACTGTAAAAAAGCACCCTAAATCATAAATGAGATTATAAAGTACCTTCCCTGGTACTATGTATGCTTTAAAGGAACAAAAAAAAGTGAAAAGATTTTATATATATTTTTAAAATCCTTTTCCCCCCTGGTAAATTAACATAAAAGACTTACAACAACTTTAAACTGTTGCTCCAAACTCCTTTCTCTTTCTTTAAGTTTCATTTCTCTTTCTCGTAACTCCTGCTCTTTTGCTGTCAGATTTCTCTCTGCTCTCTTCAATCTTTCCAAAGTTGCCTGTATTTCTTTTCTATCAAAAATAAAAATAAAACAAGTATTCTGTGAGTATTGCCTGGCAATCCATAGTCCCCTACCGGTTAAAAATTCATTGTACTGGAACAAAATGCTCACTTGATCTACAACTTGTCATGGTGTAAACTATATAACAAATATCAAGTCAATATCTTCAAGCATGACGAAAAAAAATGTTGAAAATTTAATATTTGAGTCCAAGGACCATAACTCTGCACAAAATCATCAGACCAGAACAAAATTTGAACTTGATCTGTAATTTGTCATGATGAAACTATATAGCAATTATCAAATCAACACCTTCAAGCATGACGAAAAAAAGTGAGGAAAACTGATTATTGAGTGAATTTTTTAAGTCCAAGGACCATAACTCTGCACAAAATCATTAGACCGGATCAAATTTCGAATTTGATCTATAACTTGTCATGATAAAACTAAAAACCAATCATCAAATCAATATCTTCAAGCATGACAAAAAAAAGTGCGGGAAACTGATTATTTGAGTGAATTTTCTAAGTTCAAGGACCATAACTCTGCACAAAATCGTCAGACCAGAACAAAATTCGAACTTGATCTGTAACTTGTCATGATAAAACAATACAATAAATATCAAATCAATATCTTCAAGTACGAAGAAAAAAAGTGTGGAAAACTGATTTGGTGGACTGACGGATGGACAGACAGACAGACAGACAGAGTGCAAACCTTAAGTCCCCTTTGACTTCATTGGTAGGGGACTAATAAAACAATCTGAACTGTACACTAGCCTAAATCTGATCTCAACAAGGAATATTTTATTTTGTTTTAAGCAAAATTAAACAGATCTGTACAGACTAGAATAATTTGATACTCTATTTCATATCTTGTCTCTAATTTATATAGAATTGCAAAGTTAATGTCTAGCAAAAGAAAAAGTTCCCATTAAAAAATTCCTCCCAATTGTAAATCGATCCAAAAATAAACAAGAAATGATTGTAACAGGATGCTGTTACGAAGTCTCCCAAACGAAGCTCCCATAATTCGTAATTCACAGGGTCGCCTGACATTGGACAAAGTCCAGTGAAAATTGGTTTGGTCCAGTAAAGTTATATGCATTAGTGATGCCTAGGGACTAACCCTGTATATCATTCAAATCATCTTGGCATGACAAACCAGAATATATATGGTTTAGGGGTGGGGATCTGGACCATTTACAAGATACTAGAACATTGGGGGTGGGGGGGGGACCCTTGGGGACTGACCCTATATGTCATTCAACTGTTCGAGACATGACGAACAGGAATATATATGGTTTAGGGGTGGGGATCTCGACCATTTACAAGATATTAGAACTTTCTCAAATGGCAGGGGGTCGGGATGACCCCTGGGGAATAACCCTGTATATCATTCAAACCATCTTGGTATGACAAATCAGAATATATATGGTTTAGGGGTGGGGATCTCGACCACTTACAGGATATTAGATTTTTCTTAAATGGCAGGGGGTGGGGGTGACCCCTGGGGGCTAACCCTGTATTTCATTTGATGTGCTTTATCATGACAAACCAGAATATATATGGTTTAGGGGTGGGGATCTTGACCATTTACAAGATATTAGAACTTTCTCAAATGGCAGGGGGTAAGGATGACCCCTGGGGAATAACCCTGTGTATCATTCAAACCATCTTGGTATGACAAATCAGAATATATATGGTTTAGGGGTGGGGATATTGACCACTTACAAGATATTTTAGAACTTTCTTAAATGGCAGGGGGTGGGGGTGACCCCGGGGACTAACCCTGTTTTTCATTTGATGTGCTTTATCATGACAAACCAGAATATATATGGTTTAGGGGTGGGGATCTCGACCATTTACAAGATATTAGAACTTTCTCAAATGGCAGGGGGTTGGGATGACCCCTGGGGACTAACCCTGTATATCATTCAAACCATCTTAGCATGACAAACCAGAATAAATATGGTTTAGGGGTGGGGATCTCGACCATTTACAAGATATTAGAACTTTCTTAAATGGCAGGGGGTGGGGGTGACCCCTGGGGACTAACCCTGTATTTCATTTAATGTGCTTTATCATTTAGAACATTTTCAATTAAAAAGATTGTGTCTATCACAAACGGTTTTCAATTTATAATCATTTGAAAATTTTAAAAAATAAAATCCCATAGGGTTCTATAGTAAAACCCTCCTTTCTTTTTGCCCCTCAAAGTACCCCTTTATAAACCCCATTGCACAAACAAAACCCTGATTGCACCACTAGACATGTTAGTCTAACATATTTTGAAACCTTAAGTTAATCTGACAAGCGGTTTTGGAGAACGGGTGCGGACAAGTTCAAATTTAAAAGCGGCGGAAGAAGAAGAAGAAGAAGAATAATAAGAACTGAGCAAAACCAATAAGTCTTCCCAAACGAAGTTTGGGAGACTTAATTATTTGGGAAAACTACAAAAATCACTATGAAAATCAAAGTGCTTATAAGCACTGAAGGGTCAAGATTGCATCAATTTACCAACTAAGAATTAAACATTGAATTGTATTTAGCATTGGAAGACAACATATCATCCCTTGGCCATAATTCAACTAGTTATGGACAAAGAAAGATAACTCAAAAAGTTGGGGTTAATTACTTCAACTTCATCAAATATTACCTTGATCAAAAACTTTAACCTGAAGCGGGACAGACGGACGAACGAATGAACGGACAGTCGGACGCACGAACGGACACACAGACCGAAAAACATAATGCCCCTAAGTGGGCATAAAAATCCTTTATTACGAAAATATCTAGTGATATATATAATACAGTTCCTAAAGCTAACAATAATCATATTATTGCTTACAAAACTCATTTTTTTTTTTTGATTGTCTGGAATCCCTTTTTAAGTGGTCTATTAATAGATCACTATTTTCCTTTCATAAATATGTGATAAACTGGCCCTCCATACATATTTACTGCACATCAGCGGATTTACCGGATAAACACATTTCCGATAAAAACACAGATGACCCACTTGTTTAGTTGATTTCTAATTTTATTTCAGATATATTGGGGGAAATGAGATAAAATACTCAAAATTGATTTGTCAGTGAATTGATTTATATTAAATTTCATACAATTTGTATATAATTAAGCAGAAATACATACGATCAAAGCCTTATGTGGGCGGATTTAACGGACTGCATCATATACTTAATGATTGTATATGAAACAACTTTTGACTTTGTAATAGAAATTATAGAAATCATTTCAAGTATCATTCTATCAATGATGGTGATAAATAGACAGTACAATGTTACCAGACATTTGACTCAATGACAACTTACTTCCAATCTTCTCTGTGCTGTAGAAATGAGTTGGTCTGGTCAGGTATACAATCTTTTAGAAGAAAAAAATGTAGTTGAAATTAATAATGAAATCATACAAAGTTATATTTTATTGTGGATCACTTAGTATTAAAGATAAGAAATCTGATATACAGATGCATATAAGTCAATAAAGTATAAGTATATAAAGGGAGGTAGAAATGTGTTCATCCTGGAACTATTTACCAACATCATCAGCCTACAGATAAAAAGGATATGATTATGCAACTTTTTTGCCCCATGAATTCAAAATTCCAAATGTATTATATATTTAACAAATTATATCCAGACATTAGTCTGTGAGAAGTAAGGCCTTCAAACTTCTTGTATTTCACACAAAAACTTCCAAAAAAGTCTCATATTGAGATCTTGTTATCAATATTTAGATAAGAGCCTAGGCTTCATCAAAAACATGTTTTGCTACATGATGTCTTATACAAAGATGTTAGTGAGTGTAAAATATCTTTTTGGGCAAGATCTTGGCTCATTATAAATTTTATCAAACTATGTGTAAGATGGACTTTTTAGGTCAAATTTATCAATTTCAACATGTTTATGACTTTAAGTGATATCACAGCTAAATTTTCTAACCTGAAGTGTCCAAGATATATGATACAATTCATTTATGCATATATATATCTATCATTAGAACTAACATGCTTTTTGAAGATCGAAGAATTTTACCAATTTTTCAATTTCAGGGGTCAAATAATAACTCTTATCCTACCTTTTCTGTATTTAAACTATGCATTTACAAAAAGAAACATTGTATGTACACCTTTCACATGTATTCATTGTTAGATGAATTTCTCATTGATGTTTTTAATCAATAGTATCTCAATATTTAGGAAAAGTCCATTAAAATGAATATGGGAGGGTAGGAAGGGAATTCCAAAACCATAATACAACCACCATGCTTCCCTTGAGTAAATTTGAATATAAAATGACAACCAATAATGACACAAAACCCATGTCTAAACATAAAAATCCTTCATACCCTCCCACATTCATTTCAATGGAATATCTCTTGATATTTTGCTATTAAACATTGATCCATTCTAAGACTTTCACAACAAAAAAATACAAACCATCATGTGATATAGTATGTAGCTTGGTTAGTATATCTCTGAATGAGGGACGTTTCTTTGGCTCCAGCTCCCAACACTGCCTCATCAGATGGGAAAAACATGCAGGACAAGTACTTGGTATTGTTAATCTCTGAAATTAGGAAAGGTCAAAGTTTATTTAATAAAACACTATACCTGTTGGCAAAAAAAAAAAATACAATACTCTATCAATACTCTTTGTAATATTTATTTCACCCAGTATTTCTCAACAGGCATAGATTTTATTAGATATTTCTTTCGAGATGAAGATCTCTGTAGTCTCAAAAGTCAGCTTTTGGCCGGGTAACCATGTTTGTTATCCAATTGGAAACAAAGTAACAAAGATTGGTACATAGTCACGATAGAAAATTGCAGTGTTTACAATGGATGACAGAAGGACAATAGTCACCATGGATAGCAAGTGATCAAACACATCAAAAACACATCTTTCTCTTCTATCTAAGAACTTGTCATAACATTATATTTAATCACTATTCACAGAAGGCAACAGATGATCTAAACTTCATATACATAAATTGAAGACCCAACAACAAACTTGAATACTTACCTCCCCTCTTTCTACAACTAGCCATGCGACCTGGAATCCTTCTATACCTTTGAATGGCACCTCATGTGTCAATAACTCCCACAAGACCTGAAAAAAATAACATGACAAATGTTTATATGCATGTCTACATCACAACAGACTTCAGTGCTTGCTTAAAAAATATAGATATAATTTATATACAGGCTGCAACCCCAGATACCATCTTGATAATGATTCAGGTGTGAGCTTTTCCATTATTTGCTGAAGGGTTTCAAGCAACCTTTAATAATATATACAATCGATTACAGGGATTGCCAAAAATATTGAGCAGTACAACATGTTCAAGATGTGAGTAAGCACTACAATTCTTTGACAATTTGGTGATTATCTAAGTTTTTTTTTTCTTTTGATGTATAGCCGACTCATGTCCTAACTTTCCAAAATAATCTAAATAATGAATTGTGTTTGAATTATTTTTTGTCAATGTTCACTGTCAAGATCAGATGTCATTTTGTAATTTACAATTTTTTGTTATAAATTCATTAAGATGTGCCAAGTTATCTGTTGCTGACATCAGCAGTCAGAGAATGAGCTATTTTCTCTTTTTTTTTTTTTTTAACAATTAAACAAAACTTTATTGCACAACTGCTGTTTTAAATTAAATTCAGATTACAGCGTTATTCTGAATACCCCTGTGATTAGTTACTAAACTTCCAGGGAATAAAAGTTCAGCAAACAAATACGAATGTTAATTTTACAATTTATTACAATATTTCATTCCTAAACATTGTTAATATATTTCTAAGTTGGTGTCACATGTTTACGGATCAAAATCATTCCACTCACCGGGTTTGACTGGTTTTTCTTGAATCGATTTTTAATCATTGACCTTTAGACCCAATAAAATTTTGAACAGGCGTATGAAACCGTTAGAAAAGCACATGGTTTTTGTTAACTTTTCCTCCTTGTAACTAAGAGTACTCTAGGAACTTACCACACCGTATGACCAAGTATCACAGGACTCTGAAACAGGATGACTTTGTATAACCTGCAATAACAACAAAATCTCTTGTTTCATATTTAGATTACAAATCCATTAACATAGCAATAATTGGTTTCATTAGTCATATCAAAAGATACATTTATGCATATGGCGTTTTGTAAATTAAAATGAGGTACAATAAAAGACAGCAAAAATCAGTCAAACCAAGCAATTAAATGTAAAATGTAGACAGATGCAGTGTTCTCCCCAGGCCCTTAAAGGACCGCGGGCCCGCGATGTATAATTTTTCACCGTGGTGGTATCGTTCTTACCGCGATGTATAATTTTTCTCCGTGGTGCTAAAATTTTCAGTTAAAAAATCTTAAATCGGTAAAGTTTTAAACGACTTGTTAAATCTTTTCCGTGCGGTATAAAATTCCAGGTGAAATTTGACCAGTTCAAACCAGTTCAACACGGATTATTTACACCACGTGATTGATTTACCTTTATGAGGTTAACCTTTGTTGATTGGATTTAATCGATGTAATTAACACTTTTTACATGATTCTTTTGTGTTTTAATTTAGAGATCATAACTTTATGATCAAAGATAACTATTTTAAGGCTTCACTCACCACCTGACAAGTCGGCAAATACTTTGTACACAAACCGTGTTGACCCGCTAGTTGTACACACGACGGTACATTATAAAGTTAGCTCAATACTTATATTATAGTTTTATATGTCTCTGATTAAACCATGGACAAAATTATCTTTAATTATGACATAGTTATTGCATGATATTCCGGTTTCAAACTGTCAACAAGTAATTCAAAGGGGAAGGATCAAATTACCCAGTTAGTTCACGTAGAATATTCAAGATTATTTACAATTAACTGCAATCTATTCTATTTTACAAATAAAATGCATGACTGTACCTTCAAACTGGATATATATATCCATATGATCATTAATGAATAACAGAAGTGATCTTGCAATTTTAATCCATAAGCACATGTTAAATCTATTTATATCTACTTCCTGTCATTTAGGCGGGAAAATAGGGAGACTTTGTTGTTGACATTGAATATGTTACTTTAAGGAAGTTCGCTACTCAGTTTCAAAATAACAAGCTTTTCATAACACTAGTATATATTGATAGGGGATTAGTAAAGGAACCAAATGAGCGGAAACAAAATATAGGTCCGTGTGCTCGTTTTCAAGATATAAGCCATTGAAATTTTGGCGGGAAAATGTTCTCTCTTGTTTTTTCATAGCTTTATCATTGACGAGTATAAGTTCACAAAAACTATTAAAAAATAACAAAGATTTTATAAGACTTTTACAGATGGCTTATAGTTATACATGTAAAAGAGTTATAAAAAGAAAAATGGGGGTTAGTGGGCAAAAATTTTTAAGGCATTCAAATGGATAAAACCAGAGGATTCCGAAAATCTGACAAAAAATCCAAAACATGCCAAGCGAACATCCTTAAGATCTATAGACCTAAGATAAATTTATAGATTTAGGAATTCTTTTTAAATGGATCATGATAAATCAAGATTTAGATTTCAGTGCAGTATTAAGTCTGTATCTATGTTTGATTATCACCAAAGACAAGAAAGGTTAATATTTACATGTTCATGAAATCTATAGCAAAATGTTTTAAAATTTATGAAAAATTTCTTTTAAAATTTAAGATAGAAACTGGTTCAAATTTATACACAACTTTGTACCTTTTGTTCTTGTTAATTTTATATCTCCCTTATGACAAGAATCCTATCACATACAACAACTTTCTTTCTAAGGTTTTTAAATTGAACATTTTTGTTCTCTTTTGAATCTGGGAACAGAATATCTAACAATATATATGTTCCTGTTTGAATGATATTTTATTTTTATTGATCATGGATTTTATAAAAGATTTAATTACTTTAAATTTAGATGAATATTATGTAATGAATCATGTTTAATTTATTTTTAAAAAATATTAAAAGTATACAAACTGTTTATTGATCTTTTTAACCAATAATATTCTGACATTACACAGTACCACAGTATTAAAACTAAACAAGAGACATAAAAACTGCAGTAACTAGAAATGTAGCAACGCCACGCGACACAACTGATTGTATGAATCATTTTACCAAGCTGTTCACACGCGTTACCCTGGTGCTATTCAAAAATCCTAGGGAGAACACTGAGATGGCAAACAAAACATCGAAAATTTAATTTTTCAACATATAGTGTGGTTTCATTATTATTTAGGAGATACCATTATTTAGGAGATACCATTTTTTGGCAGATTTTGATGAGGGTAAAGGTTAACAATGAATGACAAAACTAACCTCTGGGGCCATCCATGGAAACGTTCCAGCAAGAGACATCTTAGTTGTACTACCCATAAACTTTGATGCTCCAAAATCACAGATCTAAACAAGAACAAAATATATACCATAATAGTTATATTTATTCACAAAAATAATAAGAAATAAATTAGTAAATGGTTACCATACTTTTCAATTTTCAAATTTATAACTATTTCATATTATAGAATGTACCATATTCAAAAGGAGAAGGTATGATAAGGCCATCTTTTTGACCCTTTGAATTTGAAAATCAAAAAGTATAAAATATCTATCATACAAAACCCCACACTTCAGATGTTCACAAGACATTAGGGGGTCATCTAATTGTGCCTTACATATTTTCTTTATTTTAACACACCACTGAAAACAATGCCAAAATAGCTTCATTGTGTTTAATATTTCCTGAGCCCAGCAATACCAAGACATTTTGCTACAACATATCATGCAAAGATGTTTCTGTGTAAATTATATTTTGGGTAAGGCCTTGGTTCATATTTAATTTTGCCAAAACTATGAATAAAATGGCCATCATTGTTCAAATATGTCCATCATGTCCATGTTTATGATTCCACAATGCCATCACAATGCAATCACAACTGACATTTATATGCTAACATATCCAGATCATAACATCAATAAAGCTAAGATACACTACGGTATTTCAAGGACCAGATAATGGCCCTCATCAGATCTCCTCCTTTATACTTAACTGTTGTAGCATTAGTATCTTTCTAGTAATAATTTTCTACTGTTTATAATATCAGCACAAAAATACATTTATACAATGGCATATGTCCATGATTGCTGGTCATTTAAAATAGAACTTGGTGTTTTTTAGTTCAAAATGAATATTGGTACTGATTTTAAAGTTCCAGCACATAAAGTGAAATAAAGAAATGGAGTAACCAAAAGTAACGGCTATTTCTATTCCTCATCTTTGCTTAATATTTAAGTCATGGTGACCTTCTTACTTAGTTACTGTAAAGAAATAGACCAATTAAAAATATATTATTACATTGGTTGCAATGAATACCATGATTTCTCAGTGAAATTAAAACCAATAATTTCGCATGTGAAATAAATCTGATAATTTCTCTCCACTGACTTCATACAACAATAAGTGTTGTCAAAACGTTGTGAATGACATTGCATCAATACAACTGAGAATGCGTGGAAAAGATATAGTTTCTTTCATTTTTTCCATTAAAAAGGTCCATGGTCAATGTAATAAAAAGAATAACTAATCCATGAATTAAAATATCGAAAAATATTCAACTCGTGACCGAACTACACTGATAACTAACTATAAATATGGCATTTAGAAACTCTTATGTCTGCATGCAATGAAGACGATTATGAAGTATGTCTTTTCAACTGGCCAGTTTTTCAGGTTAAATAGACTTTTTCAGACAGTGCACAATTTATTTGATCATCAGTAAAGTGTTACCATTATAGTCAAATGTTTCTTACCTTGCAGATCATATCATGGGAAATAACAACTACAAAATAAAGTCAAGTTATGTACACACCTTAATAAATCTGAAAATCTATTTATAGACAAGTGTATCTCACTGTTAATACAGCTATATATTCTTTATACCAATCTCTCTTTTTATAAATAATTTCAGTTATATTTAACTCCTAATGATACAGGTAACTAACTTAATTACGAAAGTTTATTAAATATACGATATCTGTACAATGTGTCTTTTGTACATTCTGCAAAATCGAGAAGAAATGCCATGTGATTACAAGAAAATGAACTATCCTATAATTCCAAAACAACTGCAGAAGATACATAAACACTACTTTAACCCTGCCACATATTATTGTGTCTGCCCCATGTCATGACCTCATCTGTGATTGTCTTGTGTCATCTTAATGTTATTTTGTTATTTGGAGAATTTGGGGTTAATGGCAGATGTTAATTATTGGTTTTTAGAATTTAGAAGATTTAAAGCTTGACATATTGTATAGAGATTTGTCTATTTTTGAAGACTTTATGTTGCCCTCTACATGGCTTTTGTTTATTTGTGTCATTGGATTGCTGTCTCATGAAAGTATATAATACACATGACCTAATATTCATATACAGAAAGAGGCCATTTAAAATAATTAAATGATACTTTTTGTATTTTTATTGGGGTGTAGAAGCGTCGACCAAAAAACATTGTGTAAGAAGTGTGGAAGCACTCATTCAAAAAAATGTGTGTAAATGCAACGCTTTTACATCCTATAAAATTACATTAAACTGCTTCGCCGAGCGCAGCTGGATACGAGCGCAGAGGACCAACCCTGAACAATTGGGGCAAAAATGGACACAATATTCAAGCTTGATACAGGTCTGAATTTGGATTGTAATTAAATATTTGACACATTATAGGTTTCTGACACAGAATAAATGTAGTCAAAGAACTTGAAATTGGTTATATGATTTGAATTTATATCAATTGAAGATTTCTTGATGTTGTGCAATACACTGTGCCCCCCCCCCCACTTTCCAAAAAAATAATATTTGAAGAAATTTTCTTTTTGTAAAATGTGGTACAAGTTAAGAGACATCCATACACTTAAACACAAGTTATTGTCTGACAACTAGAAAAATGCTTGTTTTAGACCCTTTTTGGCCCCTTATTCCTAAACGGTTTAGGCAATTACCCCCATATGAATCCCAACCTTCTACTTGTGGTATTGAACCTTCTGGTACAATTTCAGAGCAATCAAAATACTTATACACACGTTATTGTCCTGAAACTAGAAAAATGCTTGTTTTGGGCCCCTTTTTGGCCCCTAATTCCTAAACAGTTGGGACCATCACCCCCAAAAACTATCCCAACCTTCCTTTTGTTGTATTGAATCTTTTGCTTAAATTTCATAGAGATCCATACACTTAAACTAAAGTTATTGTCTGGAAACCAAATTTCTTCTGACGACGACGACTAAGACGTGATAGCTATATACGACCGCAACATTTTTTGTTTGCGGTCGTATAAAAGAAGCATTTAATTCTTATAACATTTTCATTCAAAAACCATGAAATTAAGAGTTAAAATATGCCTTTTGTTTTTAATATAACTTTTGGAATGCCTCGTCCAATCAAAATTATGGATTAGTATGATACTTCTATGTAATGTAATTATTATGTTACAACCCAGGATATATATGACCAGTACATACAATATAGCCTATATCACCCCCAGTTTTTGGTGGTGTTCGTGTTGCTTAGTCTTTAGTTTTCTATGTTGTGTCATCTATACTATTATTTGTCTGTTTGTCTTTTTATTTTTGGCCATGGCGTTGTCAGTTTGTTTTCGATCTATGAGTTTGACTATCCCTCTGGTATCTTTCTTCCCTCTACTATCTATATCCTCATGATGTTAAGTAGAATGACTTTTAAGGCCTTATTCATATATGAGGTTTAAAATAAACTTGGTTTAGGCTTAAATTCAGTTTAGTTAACCTAGGATTGGAGTTTTAAATGAACTGTATTCATATAGCATGCTTTTGTTCCTTTATTTCCCTAATTCTTGACTAGCACTTATTGTTCCTGCCCTTTCCACTGACCTGTGACTTTTGAGCAAAATAATGCTGAATTATACCATGATTTAAACCTGCTACTAGCAGGTCTAAATTAAACTGATATTATAAACTAGGTTTAACTTAACCACTTTTATGAAAACGGTTTAATTTTAAACTTAAGTTTAAATCATTTTTAACCTTTGGAGTTTAAATCATTTTTAAACTTTGTTTAAATTTAAACATACTTTATGAATACAGGCCTTAGAGGATAAAACCCACTTTCTAGCTTCATAGAAATCTATAGTTACCATTTTTGGACTTTAAATCTCTGTGTATTATTTTGGTTGGAGCTTCTTCATGTAAGTAATTCATGCCTAAAAAGAGTAAACATTTACAGTTAGTACCTATATAATAAAAATATATATTTACAGTAATTAACATAAATATATATCATAAGAGTAAACATTGACAGTATAAAAATAATTTTTAATCTATTACATTTAACATTTTCAGAAAGTAATGCATGCAGGTAAGAGTATGGTATGCATTAATAAATGGTTCATACCTATAGAATACATTTACCATGTTTTGCAATAAGGTATTATCATCTGTTCTATATTTTTTTGAACAGTAAATACTTTATGATGTTATTATTTCTAAGAATTGTTTATTTTGCTTTAAATATGAGAAGGTATAATGCAGACAAATAATATTGTCAGCCATATTTGTTCCTTCAAGATTTTACTCAGAGTTCACTGTTGACTAAACACTGACTATTTTATATGGCATTAATATATGTATGGGGTAATGTGTGTTTATCCCATGTTAATATATGTATGAGGTAATGTGTGTTTATCCCATGTTAATATATGTATGAGGTAATGTGTGTTTATCCCATGTTAATACATGTATGGGGTAATGTGTGTTTATCCCATGTTAATATATGTATGGGGTAATGTGTGTTTATCCCATGTTAATATATGTATGGGGTAATGTGTGTTTATCCCATGTTAATATATGTATGAGGTAATGTGTGTTTATCCCATGTTAATATATGTATGAGGTAATGTGTGTTTATCCCATGTTAATACATGTATGGGGTAATGTGTGTTTATCCCATGTTAATATATGTATGAGGTAATGTGTGTTTATCCCATGTTAATACATGTATGGGGTAATGTGTGTTTATCCCATGTTACTATATGTATGAGGTAATGTGTGTTTATCCCATGTGTTCATCCTGTTTTACAAATTCCAATAAAAAAACAGTTGTGGACCTCTGTCATATTGCATTCATTGTATGATTTATATACAATGCAAACTTTATATTATCTTGGGAAATCATTCAACTATCTGGAAAATAATTTTGCTCCAGGACTTTATCAGCAAGCAGTTCTTTCGTGAAAAGTACATCTACTGAACAACACAGATGGTTGAAAATGCAGAAGGACAATATTTTACTTAAAAGTAAACAGATTAAAATATCATCTGAAATTATAAAGAAACATAAACCTGAATCTTTCATATTTTATGAATAAAATTGTTCTACCTTTGTTTTTCAGCGAGCAGTTTTGTCAATACAATGTACATGTACATGTATTTTGTCTTTTTAGTTTTGCAATGAATATTCTATATGATAAATAATTACCCTGCGCAATTTCTCTGGCCCATCGTACAATGTGGGCAAAATCTAACATATCTTTATCATTCTTCAGATAATCATATAAAGATCCATTCTTAGCAAATTCTGGAAAAAAAGAAAATAAATCATCACATACAAACCATTTGAAATCATTCTCATGTGATATTAAAGTACAACTGATGGTTGTAATATCTCATACAATCTTACTGGTTAACAGTTCAAAAACATTTCACCCAATCATTTATTATTGCTATTCAAACTGCAGTGCAGAACTTAATCTATTGACCTTTAGCCTTCTTCCATGTTATGACTACCTGTATTTCAAAATTAAAATAATTTACCAGATTGCCATTACATTAAAATAGTATAGAAAAATCATAATTAAATCACAGTTTGTTCTTTTATAACTTCAGGAAAATAACAATATATTTCTTCTGTGATTTTATAAATTCTAAAAAAGACAAAACTCTCTTGACACTTTTTTAATTAGATATTTTGTGTTTGTAGACTGTACTGCATTAATCATGCATAATTTAAATGTAAAAAACTTTCAATTAATTGCTATACAAATTTAATGACAAGACAACAATGGACATATGACAGACGGAAACTTAGTAACATAAGATATCAGCATACAAGGTATGAAGCATCCAGGTCTTCTACCTTCTGAAATATGAAGCTTTATACAAATAGTTTACATCGCCGCAGCCAGATAGTAATCCCTATGTCTCGCTTACTGCCCAGGCGAGACAAAAACTAATTATTTCACATTATATTTCAGTTTTTGAAGTGCCTTAATACAACTATTTGGTAGTAACTATTCAAAGTTTGTAACACAAAATATGTAATGTGAAAGGAAAAGAATTGTTGTTTTATTGGATGCTTCTTTGTTGTTTGTCTTTTGGTCTTTTTCTTTTTTTGCCATGGCATTGTCAGTTTATATTCTCCTTATGAATTTGAATGTCCCTTTGGTATCTTTTGCCTCTTTTTTTCTAAACAAATAACTGATGAAAAATTTTCGATTGTCCAAACATTAAGGCTTTCAAAATAGTTAAAATTTATTGTACCTGAAGAGATGTTGCAGTGTTTTCCTATCACACAATACAAATACTGCTATAATCTAGGTATAAAAGTTTTCACTAAGGTTTCACACACCAGCTATTTATTTAAGATTGGTATGAAGTAGATAGGTTTTTATAGTACTGATGCCTTAATTTTCTACTTCTTCAACACTTACCCCGGTACATGTTAAATTATTTGAAGAACAAAGAGTAAACTCATATATACAAACCAGTAACAAGACAGAAGTTTGGTTCTTCATCTACAGCTCCATAAAACTGGATAATGTTTCTGTGACTCAATACACTTAGTACTTGTGCCTAAAAACATAACAAATTAATCACCACAGATTATAACAATGAACCAATATGTACAAAACTATTAACAAACATTTCGTTACTGTAATTGTCTATATTTTGACAAAAATAAATAGATATTTCTACCAACACTCAATCAAAAATAAAAGAAAATGTACATGAACACAAATTCCCCAATCTCTACTGGAGGATAGGCTAGCACAGAGCCAAGTGGAAATTATAAATATGTCAAACTTGACCAAACATTTATAGAAGGGACATAACTCTGAAGCAAAAGGTGTCAAATTCCAACTCTACATGTATTTGATGGTTCACTGCATTGCAATGGCTTTATATATCAAATGATTAAGTAGAAAATTACTGAAATGAGTGCTTAAATCAGACTTTTCCAATTCTTTTGTGTGCATTTTTATGCAAACCATTATTACAAACTTGTCAATTTCACACTCTATCTATTGTAAGTAAATTTCTAGCACCGTGTTAAACCTTCAGATGATTTTGTTCCATCATACTTAAGTGACTGCATAAAACTTTCAATACATGTATTTTCTGCATTATTAGAGGCATACTTACTATAAGGAAACAACTTTGAAACAAGTCAAATTCAAACTGGACTTTTGGTAAGTGGTAATTAGCCCTTTTTCAAAAACTGGGGGTGATCTCAGGTGCTCAGGAAGGGTAAGCAGCTCTTGCTCCAGATGTGGCATCCATCGAGTTGCTCATGAAATGTCAGTACAAACTCAGTGATAAGTCTGATTCGGCAGTTCACATTCGAGGAAAAGAGGACAGGATTGTGGTTATGACAATGTGAATATTTCCATCAAAATTATCATATGATTTTGAGTGAAGCAAACTTTAATTTATTGAGTAGAAATGTTTTAGGCAATTTAAAGGGGCAAATATTCTATCAGACATAACATACATGTATATGATATTTGACAAATTCTAATATGACGACCTATTATCGTCAACCAGTACAATCACAATATATCTACCTTTAGCGCAAACGCAGTAATACACATAAACGGCTGTTCCGCGTTACGACCAACTTATTTATACTGCCAGATATTCTCAATTTTCGACATCAAAATCCCCAGATTACGAAGGCTAAGCTTCAGATACAATATATTTATCTCTATTCTACAGCAAAATAAACAAATCAGTCCATTTCAATTTATTTTTCATGGTAAAATTTCATAAAAAGAAAATTCTGCGAAATGATTTTATTGTCTTGGCATGGCAACGAAACAAGGTGACATCACAAATATGTTTCCGTAAACAAAAAATCAAATGTAAATACCGGGTGTTTTAAAGCTTCTTGTACGCCTCAGAACGAATAAAATTACATTGGAAGAAAATTTTTAAGTGAAAAATGTGATTAAAAAAAAATAATCATTGAATTATATAATATTACTAATATAATCAAAATTGGGTAAAACGGAACAGCCAAAACAGTATCGTATGTATAGGGCTTTCACGGTTAACATAATTACCGAATTTGTCCTATTAGAATCGAAATAATTCATGGCAGCTGTAGATTTGTTTTCATTTAACCATGGGTTGGGCATTTATATTTGATTATTTTACCCTGAGCGTTAGTACGTGCAGACCATGCAGACGGACAAGGGTAAAACTAAATGCCCCCACCGCTATAAAATCACTCAAAAATCGAACTCAGATTAAGAACATTAGCTAAAATTCAATGTATTGCAAGGAAAACATATATGTGATCTACATGTATCGGCTTACACACAAATGTACAAACAAGGTTAAAACTATATGCCTGTGATGTATTTCAGCATGACAAAATAAATACCCTTCAATATCAAAGTCAACGTATGTCATGTATGTGATGACCATGATGACAGTTTTTGTTTTATGAATTGTTTTATGTGTTGTTACTGTGTGTAATTATTTTGGTACATCAACAAATCTATACACTATGAGTGTAGCAAAGACTTCTCAGATCTAGAATTAGTCTTTTTGTTGTGGGGATGTATAAGTACAGGTTAGCGGAGGATTGAGCACTCACAAACATGTTGAACCCGCCACATTCTTTATGTGCCTGTCCCAAGTCAGGAGCCTGTAGTTCAGTGGTTGTCGTTGGTTCATCTCTGTCATATTTGTTTTTTGTAAATTGTTTTATTATAAACATTGAAAAATTAGGCCATTAGTTTTCTCAATTTGAATTTTTCATATTTTTCATGTCAGGGCCTTTTATAGCCGACCATACGGTATGGGTTTTTCTCATTGTGGAAGGCCGTATGGTTGCCTATAATTGCTTTCATCCACTTCATTTGAACTTTGGTGGATAGTTGTCTCATTGGCAATCATACCACAGCTCCTTATTTTTATATTCAAATCATGAAGTACCTCTTTATCCAGTACTAACAACTTTTTAACTGCCACAATCAAGTTCTCTGACTTCCATTTTGCCCTGTATACACTTCCAAAAGATCCACCACCACACCTTTCATAGAATTCTAGATCTTCAAAATCTATTTCATAAAATGCTGCCATATCCAGTGAATTCCCTCACATAGTCATCTGTAAAATAAAATATACTATGGAGGTTTCATCAGTACTACATCAAAAGTCAAAATATCATTGTATGATCATGTTCATTTAAATACATGTACATTTTGTACAAATTCCTAAGAATATGAAGTAAACTTACTAGAGGCACCAAGGACCCTGAATCATCTAATAATTATGGGAAATATTGACTCTTTCTCAGTACTAGTAATTCTACAGCAGAAATAGTGAGCATGCTCAGTACTCATTTCTTATGAAGTAAAATATTAGCTACATGCCCCAAGAATAACAAAATTAGTTCAATCTAAAATTGAATAAGAGGACATTTTTCATTGTGTTTTTTTTTTAAATGTGTTATCCTATTGGGTAACAGGACTTGTTTTTTTGTAGAAAATATGTGTAAGTCTTATCCAAATACTGGCAAAAAGCAGGGTTTTAAAGTACTTTATAACTATACTATGAACCTTAAGGTTTATCACACGGTATTGACAACTATATACATTTGTATATGGCTGTGTTTACACCACAAAATTTACACTCAGTACATACACAACTGCTCACATGGAGATGTTTTAAGACATGACAGGACCTAGATAAATAAAATTTAAATGCATTTTATGTTTCCAAAAATTTTAAAATTCAATGGATTTTGTTATGCATCTTAATCATTCAAAAATAAATGGGGAATGTGTCCATGGGACACAGATGATGCCCCCGCTTGCATATTAGGTTATAATAGGACATAACTCAAGAAAGGTAAAAGTGACGCTACCCAATCTGAGTTTTGTGGTAATAAGCATTGTGTATAAGTTTCATAACATTTGGGTGAGGCAAACTTAAGTTACAGAACGAAAAATTCAGCAATTTTTCCATTTGTAAAGGGGTTAAAACGGTAAAAGTGATGCCACAAAAATTCATAATTTATCTTTGTATTGTGGTAATAAGCGTTATGTATAAGATTCATAACATTTGGTTTAGGCAAACTTAAGTTAGAGAACGGAAATGAAAAATTCAGCAATTTTTCCATTTGTAAAGGGGCATAACTCTAGAAAGGTAAAAGTGACGGCACCCAAATTAAAACTTGATCTGAGTTTTGTGGTAATAAGCATTGTGTATAAGTTTCATAACATTTGGTTGAGGCAAACTAAAGTTAGAGAACGGAAGCCAATTATGGGATATACAGACGTACGTACAGATGGACGGACAAGGGTAAAACTTAATGCTCCCTCCGCTACGGCGGGGGCATAAAACATATCAAAATAAATAAATTTGTCAAAACATTTTAAGATGTTACGCTCATGAAATCATTATAGTGAATTTATTGCTTTACATGGATAATAGATATCTGCACAACAATCATGACAATAGGTTATTTAAAATGTACAACAGATTAGTTGGACCTATCAAGTAAAACTCAGCAGTTTAATCATTTTAGCATCTCTTCTGCAGGTTTGAAAAAAGGAATCTCAAAATTAAATTAAGTTTTCATTTTCTGAAACCCACATTGCATACAACTTTTATGCTCCTGAAGAATAAATTGTAGAAGGTCATTTTTATTTTTTCGATACATCATGGCACGGAAAAATCTCTAACAACATTGTCACAATAAAACTTTTTCTTTCTTTTCTGGATTATTCCTAAAACATTATAGGGCCTGATAGAGCATATGATTTCCCACAATTTGTATCTGAAGAGCAAAAGTTTCCAGCAAATTTGTTAAAAGAATATTGACAGCAGTACAATGAATTATATGTTTGGTTTAAACGTATCCAACAGTTTTCTCGGGTAATTAATTTGTTTGTGATTGTGGATGCACAGGTGTGTGATTACAAAATTCATTGACCTCCGATCAGCTGACATATGCTGGAAGTGAAGTTCTAACAGGATTATAGCTTTGTTATTGTTTTTAAAACAACAAGAGTGCACACGCTGAAATGTCTCGCCTTCTTTACTAATCATTGATATTATGTTGATAGTTCTAAATATAAAGCTTTACTACAACTATCACATAAACTTAACATGATCCAAGAAAATGAGATCAAGGTCATATAAACCAAACAAGAAATACATGTACACCTTACAATCATTCAATACACTAAATATAGTTGACCTATTGCTTATAGTTTCTAAGATACATACTTAACCAAGAAAACTAAACATTGACTAATGAACCATGAAAATGAGGTCAAGGTCAGATGAACCATGCCAGGCAGACATGTACAGCTTGCAATCCTTCCATACAACAAATATAGTTGACCTATTGCTTATAGTAATAGAAAAACAGACCAAAACACAAAAACTTAACACTGAGCTATGAACCGTGAAAATGAGGTCAAGGTCAAATAAAACCGGCCAGACTGACATGTACATCATAAAATATTTCCATACACCAAATATAGTTGACCCATTATATATAGTATTAGAAAAAAAGACCAAAACTCAAAAATTTAACATTGACCACTGAACCATGAAAATGAGGTCAAGGTCAGAAGACACCTGCCAGCTAGACATGTACACCTTACAATCATTCCATACACCAAATATAGTAGACCTATTGCATACAGTATAAGAAAAACAGACCAAAACACCAAAACTTAACTATAACCACTGAACCATGAAAATGAGATCATGGTCAGATGACACCTGCCAGTTGGACATGTACACCTTAACAGTCCTTCCATACACCGAATATGCTAGACCTATTGCTTCTAGTATCTGAGATATGGACTTGACCACCAAAACTTAACCTTGTTCACTGATCCATGAAATGAGGTCGAGGTCAAGTGAAAGCTGTCTGACGGGCATGAGGACCTTGCAAGATACGCACATACCAAATATAGATATCCTATTACTCATTATAAGAGAGAAATTAACATTACAAAAAATCTTAACTTTTTTTTCAAGTAGTCACTGAACCATGAAAATGAGGTCATGGACAATGGACATGTGACAGTCGGAAACTTCGTAACATTAGGCATCTATATACAAAGTATGAAGCATCCAGGTCTTCCACCTTCTAAAATACAAAGCTTTTAAGAAGTTAGCTAACGCCGCCGCCGCCACTGGATCACTATCCCTATGTCAAGCTTTCTGCGACAAAAGTCGCAGGCTCGACAAAAAATTGCTGACAATAGATACCAGGAATTTCATTAATTAAACAAAAGCATTGGGCAATAGTATTCAATCAGGAAAGCAAACACATTCCCTAACTTCAGCACTGGGACTTGGTGAGCAGGTATTAAAAAAATTTGAATTACAGTTATTCAATTTTTTTCTCATTTCCAGTCTATGTATAAATGAATACCATTGGCATCAATATTTGTATGTTTGTTAGCAATGCGCTTTTTACTATGTTTAGTAAATATGCAAATCTTAATGTCATTTTCAATTCAGCCAACTAAAATTAATTAGATTTTCATCCAACTTTCTGAAAAAATGGAGCAGGTGGGAGGATTTTAGTTTTTGATTTTTATTTCCTTATTTAAGTTACACCCTTGACTGTTTAGACTACATACATCAAATTTCTTTTGCTTTCTAAGCTTCATTGCATGGTTTATTATGCCCATAATATGAAGCATATGCATCGGTATGAAACACAAGTTTTATGGTTACAGGGTAAAATGAAAACTAAAACTGTTTTGAAAATACTTGTGTTGATGCTCTTAAGATTCTTATGCAACCTTTTGCAATTATAATTTTATTAACTAGTTTTATACATGCAATAAGAATCAGTTGTTTAATAACTTTATTGGGTGAGTGGGGACAGAGGTTGTTTGATGTTTGTCAACAAAAAAAGGACAGTTTTAGGGTAAATCTTGCTATAAGTTGGCTGACTTTTTGTAATCAATATTCGTTCCTAAACAGTTTAAATTATATCGTACAAGTTCATGGCTTGTGTCAATTTTTTTTCCAGTTGTGGTTTTATACCAATGTGCGCCACGATTCTTGCGCTTTGGATATAATTCACAGTCCAAATTTCCTGACACAAAGTCATTGTATACATAAAAAAATCCACGGCTTTCTAATCACTGAAATTTGTGACATACCGCAATTTGCATTCTTTGACACCGCTTTATACTAGTAACCCCAATATTTCAGGCCCTTCCCTTAATCAATCTCTCTTTTCAGAAGATAATGTAGTCATCATAGAGTAGCAGAATATATTGACTTAATTATTTTGGTTATATTACTCAGAAGAAATACCAAAACCAAATTTTACAACAGGAAGTTTTGAATGAAACGAAATTATCGACGAGGTTACCAGTAATGGAAACACAAAATTCGCAAATCAATTTTTTTTTTTAAATTTAAAAAATAAACGGAGAATGCACCCATTGGACACAGATCTAGATGATGCACCCACTTGCATAAAACGTTATAAAGGGACATAACTAGAGAACTGTAAAAGTGACGGCAACCAAATTCTAACTTGATCTGTGTTTTATGGTAATAAGCATTGTGTATAAGTTTCATAACATTTGGTTAAGGCAAACTAAAGTTAGAGAATGGAAACCAATTTCGGGACGTACTGACGGACACGGGTAAACCTAAATGTCCCCTCCACTATGGCGGGGGCATAAAAATGGGGCAGGACAATTGTAGAGGGGTGGGCGGGGATGAAAATCTATCAATTAATTTAAATTGGCCTTATGTAATACAAATATATAAGAAATATAAAATAACATCTTAAATTATAAGACTTAACTCTCTTGCTACAGCTAATTTAATATGGTTACATTTCATGGGCCAGAAAATACAGCAGCTGGACGTCTATGACATCACATGCCCAAATACAACGTCATTCAATATATGTAGTTAAACCCTAATGACGTTACATGTACATTGGAGACCAATTGAAGAAAAATATATAACACTGTAGAATCTTTGATGTTTTATTTGAAAGAGAAACAGTAATGAACAGATGCTTTCATAAATTAAACTTATGGACATTTGTGTCCCTCTGGCAGAAAGAGGGTTAAATCTCAAAAAACATGTTTAACCCCGCCGCAATTTTGCGCCTGTCCCAAGTCAGGAGCCTCTAGCCTTTGTTAGTCTTGTATCATTTTTAATTTTAGTTTCTTGTGTATAATTTGGAGTTCAGTATGACGTCCATTATCACTGAACTAGTATACATATTTGTTTAGGGGCCAGCTGAAGGACACCTCCGGGTGCGGGAGTTTCTCGCTGCATTGAAGACCCATTGGTGGCCTTCGCCTGTTGTCTGCTCTATGGTCGGGTTGTTGTCTCTTTGACACATTCCCCATTTCCATTCTCAATTTTATTAAATTGTGTGTATTTTCCAGTCCCATGGTTTAATCTTGTGAAAATTAGAAGTCATTGAGTTACTGACATCACTGATCTATCACACTGTCAGATGGCAAAACAGTAGTATCTCTTTACTTATGTATTGTTGTAAGTGGGCCTGGAGTGAAAATAGTTACAAAAATAAGGAAAAAAGGAAGTACAGTGCAGTTTAGTGTATTCCCACACCTAAGACTTGGTACATTTGTGTACATGTACATGTACATTCATAAAACCAATAATCTGATAATATTGTAAGAACAAATTCATGACATAAATCTTATTAACCTTTGATTTTAACCTTAAGATTTGTATTATGTGTGTCCAAAATTAGGGAAACCCCTGTTTTGACAGTTCTTCAAATGTCCGGTGATTTCGTGCATGCCATCTAAAAATAATCAATTTTGAATATTATAGGAAAGATTTTATACTACAAAATACAGATCAGTTTGAACTGAACAGACTGCCAAGGATGCAGAGCAAAAATCATTTCATTTGATAAAATTTGCACTAAAATAAAACCAATTTTATTTGATGATGTCATATTTTTTATGGAAAACAATTAAATATAAATTATTCATGGGTTTAAAATCATGAATTTATGCTTGAACTTATCAATTTAAATCTTTTCTGTCCCTTTCAAATGACTGAATCAATTACAACAACGATTCTTTTTATGTTATATTGCGGATATGACGAAATCTGGTAATGTGCAATATCACCTGCGGCACACACACAGGGATTCTACTGTAATTAACTTTCAGAACATCATGTGAACCATGGGTGCCAAAATAACTACTGAGGCTGCCTAATTAATAAACCAGGTGTCTATTTGACTAGATACAGAAATAACTATACTGGATGCAAATTTGACCAAATGCTGAAGTGACTAGAATTCCATACGCCACCCCTTTGATGTGAAATACCGGGTAATATAATTTTTTTGCATAAAATCATTAAATAATCTTATATCCTCATGCCCCTCTTCAAAATAATATTTGTTATCACTATTTTCCGAAAATTTTCCTTTGATCTTGCTGACTGATAATTTCCTTTCTCAGCGGAGTCGAGTGATATGAAAATTATCGCTAGAAACTAAGAGGGGCACGTGGCGTTGTCAATGAAATTGACAACGTCGTCATAGGTAAAATAACGATAAACAGATGATCATTGGTCATCTCAACGAGATTGTTTTTCTCACTATCGCTGTACCGGCTTAAGCGAGAAAATCAATCTCGTTGAGATGATCAACAATATTCTATAATTATCTGCAATTAGGTATCCATTCAAAAATCTCGATCCACCCCTGAAAATGTTAAATTAGGTGTAAATTGAGATATCCATGAATTATTGGTTATTCCTGACTTGTTAAAATTGAGAATGGAAATGGGGAGTATGTCAAAGAGACAACAGCCGAAGGCCACCAATGGGTCTTCAATGCAGCGAGAAACTCCCGCACCCGGAGGCGTCCTTCAGTTGGCCCCTAAACAAATATGTATACTAGTTCAGTGATAATGGACGTCATACTAAACTCCATATTATACACAAGAAACTAAAATTAAAAATGATACAAGACTAACAAAGGCCAGAGGCTCCTGACTTGGGACAGGCTTACTGTTACTGTTAGGCTAGTTGTTAGGGCCAGTCGACAGTCCTTTCTTAGTTTCTATATCCGGCAGTAGTCAGGCCGGGTGAGTTCGAAGGCAAGCATATTTAAAAATGCACATCTTTTTTACATAGATCGCCACCTGTAGTGCATGCACAAACTAATTTGTTAGCTTACCGAAGAAAGTTAAAGATTGTACCCTCACACCTTCGTTCTTTATAAACCAGGACCATTTGAGCGCTTTAAAAAATACCCTTTTCTATAAAATCCTCAAGCGTTCATTTGATTCAGAAAAAAACCTTTTTGCAACACTTTAGAATAACATTTTTCAAGTACAATATAACTTTTCTTCTGTTTTAAATATATTAACAAAAAATTCAGAAGGATTTCTATTTAATTTTTTTTACCAAAGAATCCCCTCTAAAAGTCGTAAAATTTATTTACGGTATTGATTGCAACCAATGTAAACAAACAGGAACCATATGGCTTGGACATTTAACAGTTCACTGAGGAAGTTGATTGTTCAATTGAAAATAGTAAAACACTGGTAAATCTTAGATTGCTTACTGTTTATATAACTGTGTTTGTGGAAGATGAATGTTTAAATTTCCCATATTCCAGAAAGTAAATCTACTCCAGTACTTGTCACATATAAATAAAAGAAGGGATACTATACTGCAAATGTAAATGAGACAGCAACTCAATGACACAATCAACCGAATAGGATCTTATAAGTAGTTTACTGTTTCACACACTTACTGCAAATGTAAATGAGACAGCAACTCAATGACACAATCAACCGAATAGGATCTTATAAGTAGTTTACTGTTTCACGCACTATCAAATTTAAAATCTGCATACTGTGTACCTTAAGATAATATGAGACAGGTGTTACCTGTGAAAGGGGATGAAATAAATCTTTAGAACATGTTAGAATACTATACAATATCACGTTAACATCAGATGTTGATATATATAATATATTGCAAAAATATCTTAGCATGATTATTGGTGAAAAAGTAACTAAATTACGGACATGTATCCGATGTTGGTCCTATTGTTAGGAAGTTTATATACATGTATGATGTCATTTTTAATGTAAACAAAGAAACACTTACAGTATCTTCAGGTAGCGTTTTTTGTTTTGTTTTATAATATAGTTTAATTAAAAACATAATAATTTATACCTAAAAACAAAGAATATACGAAGTAATTGATCTTTGTACAGATACAAAATTCTGCCTGATTGATCTGTCAGAGGTGAGTTTCCCCAGAGAACTCATTTTGTTTGCTATAAAATTGTATGTTGTATTGTTCAATAAGCTCTAGACTGATTTTATTACGTACACAAACAGAATAAATTCAAAATGCTTGTCATTATTTTTTTTGGTAATCAGTTATACAAATTTGCAGGAAATCGTATGACTTACAACATACTTCAACAGAACAGGAACAGGATAATGGGCAAGCTCAACTGTTAGAAAAAAGTTCACGATTTTGAGTTCATTAGTATATTTTTTTTATATTGATTTTTTTACTGTTATTGGGGACTTGGTCTACCTAAAAACAATGAATTTACAAATTCAGCTTATTACTGATCTTTGTACATACAAAAATCTGCCTGATTGATCTGAGATGAGTTTCCCCAGAGAAGTCATTTTTGTCTAGCCTGCTACAAAAGTCGCAGTATGTGAGACATAGGGATTACTATCCGGCGGCAGTTTGAACTATATGTATGAAGCTTTATATTTCAAAAAGTAGAAGACCTGGATGCTTCATACCTTGTATGCAGAACCCTTATGTTACAAAGTTTCTGTCTGTCATATGTCTGTTGTCCTTGACCTCATTTTCCTGGTTCAGTGACTGCTTGAAAAAAAATTATAGTTTTTTTGTCATGTGAATTTCTCATTTGTTATGAGTAATATGGTAACTATATTTGGTTTATGGGTTCCTTGCAAGGTCTACCTGTCCATCAGACAAGTTTCACCAGAACTTGACCTCAATTAATGGATCAGTGATCAAGGTTGAAGCAAATATAATCCACATCAACTGATTTTTGAATTAGATATCATGACATTTCATCTCCACAAAAAAGAAAAACACATCTACTTACTTATTTTTGCCTTGGATATCATGACCATGATGACATTTAGTCTTCACAAAAATAAACCACATCAACTTATTTTTGCATTAAATATCATGACATTTAATCTCCACAAAAAATAAACCACATCAACTTATTATTGTTTGGATATCATGACATTAAATCTCCATAAAAATAAACAACTTTACAGTAAATTCAAGTATCTAAGTGAAGAAACCATACAAATTCCTATAGATTGTACACACACTTTTGTCTTAAGGTAGATAAATTCTTCTTTCCATTTAAAATAGATTCTTCTTAATTTTTTCTGAAAGACATTTCAGAATATTTTTTTAAATATCAGTACATTTGTACTTATTTTCAAGAAATGTTAAGTTTAAAATTCCATACTTTTGTAAAGTTTATAAAGGTGGAATTTATTTGTTGGTGAATGAAATAAAAACCTACTGATAGAAATGAAGGATTTTTTTCTTTCAGAAAAGACAATTTAGATGAATAGTTTAAGGTAATAAAAAAAAATGGGGATACATAAAATGTTTCTTCATATTTTACAAATAAATACCCAAAACAGACTGATTTGCAGCATATCCAATGTAATTACTCCCCTCCTGAATAAAATACATTTGTATAAAAGATTTCTCTCTTGATAAAATGTCTGATTTGTTAATTCTTTTAGGATTACATTTGACATTGTCAGCAAATGTATATTTAGGTAAACAAATCTCAGTTGTTGGTTTTCTGTTTTTTTATTTTTTGCATATTTTAGGAACATCGGATACAGATTAATAAAATAAGCAACAAATTTAAGCTTGATTCCCAAATAATGTTCCGTTGGCAAATGACAGATTTGCTTGACCACTTCACCAGTTTCATTTGCCATTATTGATTGGCTCCTGTGTATTTTTCATCAAAGACAATGTATTTTATCAATGTATCATTATTAAAGATTCCTGCAGAAAATAACACCATTGTCTTGATTTTGCTGTAAAGTTGAATGTTCATTGCAGATTCAGGATTTTGAAAGTGGAATGTGCAATTTTTATCTTGCCTCGCGGCCTGGCCATGTGAGCTTTTTTCATTACTAAGGGGTCATCATCCATTGTTGTCAACTTTAAAAAAAATTCTCCTCTAGAAATAGTGGGCCAAACTTTCCCTGAATGTTTTTTTAGGGTATCAAGTTTACAAAGTTCATCCAGAGGATTGATCTATCTACAAATATGACAGCTGGTGTCAGGCATAAAACTGCAGGTTTTGCCTAATATCCTAATAACTAAAGCAGTAAGGGTTAGGGTTTGGGTTAGGGCAAAACTGACTGGGTGAAAATGATCAGCAGGTCAATATCTATGATGGAAAGTATCTACCTTGAAATGTTCAGAAAAAATCTGATATTCTTTATTTGAGTTTATTCCACCTGAAATGTCAATTTAAGCAAAGTTTCCAGTTTTTGGTTAAACTTCTTGAAAACTGTCACTGATAGTGATAATTTAAATAGTAAAACAATTCTCTATAATAAGATTTACTGACAAGTAAAAAATCGATAATGGACCCAATTTAGGAGTAATGCCCTTGAATAAAACTTTATCAAACTTTTGCATTCATGAAAACTATGGTAGAATAGAAAAAAATTACAATACAGAACTTGTCAGTTAGACAAAGATCTTCAAATAAAACATTATAAGTCAACATGGCCAAAATCATCCGTGGACTCATTGTAGAAGTTTTGAATGACAACTTTTGTAGATCTTGTATTTTTTGGCTCAATACAGATTTTCTTTTTAGCTATCATAGTTTTCAAGATGATAGGCAAAACAAAAATAACACCAAAATTGGCTAACTAATGTCAATTATGGGCAAAAACTCCTATAAGAAGTCGTCTGGTAATTTTTGTTGTGTGCTGTGTTTATTAGAAAAAAATACATGTATCAATATTATGGTAATTAGTCCATAGTTACAGCTACAAAATCAATCTAATGGCAAAATCAAGACAACAATATAAGGTTGTATAACTCCTATCAGAAGTTGTCTGGAAATTTTGATGGAAATAGAAAGTATTAAGATCTTCACATTCATAGCATATTTGCCTATGTCAGATTTTTTCTATTATGATTTTCATTAAGATATTAAACTATGGCTTGCATTTTACCTTATCCATAGCATTATATTTTTTTAATTATGGCCGTTTTGGTTGATTGAGAGGAATACAATAACTTAACTTTACATTTTTGGAGAATATTTTTTTAGTTAACAACAGATGCCAAGTGGTTTCCTATTAGGGTTGTCTTAATGATCGTAAGTTTGTGCTTTGTTCCAGACTCAGTTGCATTGGTATTTAGAACAGCAATAAAAGCGATGTTCCTTCACTTTTGTGTTTTTTGTTGTGCATGTACTGATTTTGTGTCGTGGATTGATACCCCATATCATTTCTTTTCTATTGAAGAACACATGCTTGCGTATGTCTGATATGTGGTTGCATTGATGTAAATTATATAATAGTATAATGCAAGTGTATGTTTGCCTTACATGCTTGATAAACTTGTAATTGTGTGTGTGTGTGTGGTCGTAACTCGTTACATCTATTCCGAGATTTATGCATAAGACATGCTTTAATAAAAACTTGCTTCAGAGATAAAGTTTCTAAAAATAGCGAAACAAGCTAGTAACATATTGACCTATCTTTTCTTATTTGTACTTTGTATTTATCAGAAGTCTTCTGGTATTATTAATGTTTAAATGTCGATGACCTCACCTTTAATAACCATATGTTGATGAGGCTATGTGGGAAAGATTTTGTATTCGTTAGTTAGCTATAATCATAGATGTATAAACCCACCGAGGCTATAGATTATGACTATACAAAAATAAACTGTTACTATTTGGAATTATTAAAATGTAATTTTATTTAAAAAAAGGCATGCTCTTTTGAAATTTAAATCAGTTGATTACATGACATACAGATATACAAGTATTGAAAGCAGTTTCAGAGAATGAATTATATAAATGAAGGCATGTCGTTAGTAAATTCATGAACCACGGTGAACATTATAGCCCATCATGATCCTGAGCATGGACTATTTACCCTCGTTCTTTGTTGGGTTCGTGTTGTTTATTCTTTATTTTTGAG